ATTGCCATCCATTTTGTCCATCGTGCGTTAACATTTAAACATTTCAGCTTTTTCGCTGAAACCGCTAAACAAATTCCAACCAATTTTGGCATATAGCATCTGATGGTGAACACCGGTCAAGGTAGCCTAGTGGTAGAGCGTTCGCTTCGTGATCGGGAGGCCCGGGTTCGATTCTCGATCGCGGCGCCGCGTCATACCTAAGACGTAAACAAAGGTAGTGACTGTTCCTTCGCCAAGCGCTCGGCACTAGAAGTGAAAGTCACGGGTCTTTCGGATATGACCTTAAAAACGTAGGTCCCGTGTCACGGTAGGCGTTGGCACGATAAAGAACCCTCACTGCTCAATGGCCCTGAGTGCCGAGTATAGGTCTAAATTTGAAGCCCTTCACCGGCATCGGTAACGTCTCCATATGAGTGAAAAATTCTCAAGAGGGACGTTAAACAATATACAATCAATCAATCAATCTGATGGTGAAGGGGAACAAAAATTGTAAATTTGATGGTTCCTGCCCCCTGGGGCCTGGGGGTGGGGCAAAAACCACTAAAATTAGTGCAGTCGTAAAAAAATCTTCTTTACTCCTGGAAAACAAGCAGGCAAAATGTTGAAATGATTGTAATCAGTATTGAGTCCTCTACCAAAATTGTGAAATTCATGGCCCCAGGGTCAGAGGTTCTGGTGTTAGGGTGGGGCTCTATTGATAATATAGTGAAAATGCATTACCCAGTAATTAATTCTTTGAAAATCTTCTTCTCTGCTCCTGGGTATTAAATAAATTAATCAAGTTCATAGTTATGATGAGCAAGAGTGCCTCTACCAAAATTCTGAATTTTATGGCCCCAGGGTCAGGGGTTAGGGTGGGGCTCTATTGATTATATAGTGAAAATACATTTATTCTTTGAAAAGTATATATTTTCTAATATGGACTTTTTAAGCCCGTCTAATCAAAGAATCGGATATATATATTAATAGTTTTTGCCCTGTCTGTCTATCGATCTGCAAAAAACTTTAACCTTGCCTATAATGTTTCAGTAGGTGGGGCTTTGGCTTTCATTTTCACATTATATTCCTTGTGACAAGACTTTCTGGGTACCTATTGACCTTGGAGTTCGACCTACTTTTGCACAAAATTATCAAACTTTATCCTTGGCCATAGCTTTTGAACAGTTAATGCTAGGGTTTTCATTCTTCATGTGTATTCAAGACCTTTAGATGGGTTTACATATAAATGTCCTAGACTGTAAAAAATGACCCAATTAAAAAGAAAACTTTAACCTTGGTCAAAACTTTTGAACAGTTAGGACAAATGCTTCTATATTTCACAGGTGTATTCGTGTGACAAGACCTTTCTTTAGATATCTTGAACTTTACCTTAGAGTTTGACCTACCTTTGGCCATAACTATTGAATGTTTGGTACTAGGGTTTTCACTAGTTTATTTCTTATAACAAGGTCTTGTCTGAGTACCACTAAATTCAACCATATGACCTTGACCTTGACTCATTTTGAAATAACTTTAATCTTTTTGGTAACTGTTAATAAGGTCAGTATACTTGCGCTTTCATACTGTAAAATCACATATTTTCGTGGGGTCAAATTTTCGTGGTTTGAGGAAAATTTCTTGGTTCGTGGGGATTTTATTTCGTGGATCAAGAATTAATGAGTACTTATGTATGTAACATTTTACATTTCGTGGTGGTCATGAATTCGTGGGTCTCTGTATACTTCGAAAACAACGAAAATTAAACCCCCACGAAAATTTGTGATTTCACAGTATTTCAAGTATACGTACATGAATATTTATTGACTCAAATCCTTTGTTTTGAATAAAACATTTTTGATATCTTGGCCTTGGAGTATTTGAGAAACTTCAACCGTCGATGTAAGCTATCATATGGGGGCCTCACTGTTTTACAAACAAACAGACTCAGAGGAAACCTCAAGTTCCCTCGTGTGGTTAATGAATTAGTCAATATACTCTATAATTTTTATGCCCCCCTAAACGAAGTTTCGGGGGCATATAGTTTTTGTTGTGTCTGTCTGTCTCTCTGTCTCTCTGTTTGTCTGCAAAAACTTTAACCTTGCCCATAACTTTTGATTTAGTGGAGCTATGACATTCATATTTCACAAGTGTATTCCTTGTGACAAGACCTTTTTTGGGGTACTACCAAATTTGACCTGACCTTGGAGTTTGACCCACTTTTACACAAAAAAATTGAACTTTTACTTTGACCATATCTTTTGAACAATATATACCAGGATATTAATACTTTACATATGTATTGTTTGTTGAAAGACATTTCATTTGATACCAACAACCTTGACCTTTTGACCTTGGAGATTTTTGTACTTATGAAAAAAACCTTAACCTTGGCTATAACTTTTGAACAGAAAGTGCTATGGCATAAATACTTCACATATATAATCCTTGTGAAAAGACGCTTCATAGGATACCAAGAACCTTGACCCTTTGACCTTGACCTTAGAGTTTGACCTACTTTAAAAATACAACCTTGACCATAATTTTTGAAGGGTTAGGACTAGGGTTTTCATACTTCACATATGTATTCCTTGTGGCAAGAGCTTTTTTGGGGTACCACTAAATTTGGCCTTTTGACCTTGACCTTGGAGTTTGGCCCGATTTTACACAAAAATTTTGAAGATTTACTTTGGCCATATCTATTGAACAGTATATGCCAGAACATTAATACTTGACATATGTATTGCTTGTGAAAAGACCTTTCAATTGATACCAACCACCTTGACCTTTTGACCTTGACCTTGGAGATTTTTGTACTTCTGAAAAAACTTTAACCTTAGCTATAACTTTTAAACAGAAAGTGCTAGGGCTAATATACTAAACATATGTAATTCTTGTGAAAGACGCTTCATAGGATACCAAAAACCTTGAACTACTCTAAAAATACAACCTTGACCATAATTTTTAAAGGGTTAGGACTAAGGCTTTCATACTTCAAATATGTATTCCTTGTGACAAGACCTTTCATTTTATACCAAGAACCTTGACCATTTGACCTTGACCTTTGATTTTTACCCACTTTTACACAAAAAATCCAAACTTTTACTTTGACCCTAATTTTTAAACGGTAGATACTAGGAATTTTGTATTCAAAATTTTAATTCTGATTGGCAAGACCTTTCATTTGAAATCAACAATTTTGACCTTTTGACTTGACCTTGGAGATTTTTGTACTTATGAAAAACTTTAACCTTGGTAATTACTTTTGAACGGCGATGGCTAGGGCTGTCATATTTCAAATGTGTAATCCATGTGACAAGACCTTTCATTGGATATCAAGAACCTTTGACCTTGGAGTTTGACCTTCTTTTTACAAACTTTAACCTAGCTTGGTCATAACTTTTGAACGGTGAGGGCCAGCGCTTTCATACTTCCCATATGTAATCTGTGAGACAAGGCCTTTCTTTAGAAACCAACAACCTTTACCCTTTGACCTTGACCCCAGAGTTTGTCCTGCTTTAAAAATGTTAACCATGGTCATAACCCTTGAATAGGTGATGCTAGTGTTTTATATTTCTCATTTGTATTTCTTGTGAAAAAGGCCTTACTTTAGGTACCAACATATTTGATCTGCATTTGAGAAAGCTTAACCTTCGCTATATTGCCATACGGGGGCATCAGTGTTTCACAAACACATCTTGTTATGAATATTTTTATTATATGATAAAATGTTATATATTCATGATTCCGTTCACTATGCAATATACATATATAACAAATTAAAATTGTACTTTACATCTTATCTTAAATATTGTAGTATTTCCACTTTCCAGAATATTATAAAAGTTGCTTCTGAAAAAATGTATTCAATTCATATTCATTGAAATCATCTCAATCCAAATTAAAGGTATCAACCTTTTTGGATATAATCGATATAAAGCTCTCGTAAATGGTTGTACAACAAAAAATAATTTTCTTATTAAAACACTCGTCAATAAGAAATGTCAATAAGAAACATGTATACGCTTAATTACAATAGTAAGAGCTAGACTACATTATGATCTTAAGGAGAGCCTCAGTTCACAAACGTGCACCGTAACAAAATTTTCAATGGGAGGTTAATAAAATTACGAATGAGAAAAATCAAATAAGCACACGATGATGCATAAGTAACAACAAATTCATTTATTTTACCAACTACTTATACAGTTTTAAAATAACAACACTTGATAACAATATTGCCAAGTAAAGGAAGAAAAACTCTCGTCATAAATGACATCACCAGCCTTGACGTGATGCAGTACACCAAATCGCAGAAGTTCATGTCAATTTTGATTTATAATATTTTGTATCTAATTTGAATTCACATATAACAATATCTAATAAACCTTTTTGGGTTTTTTAAACATTGCTTAAAATTAAAAAATAGATATAGTGTATAAGATGAAGTGACGGGCAGGTTTTGGAATGAAAGAAAAAATGTTTTTAGTATTACTACATGTACATACGTCAAAATCATGAATAAAGTGTAGTCTCTGTTAGTCTGTCCTTCCTGTCTGATATGCTCGATACATTTCGTACGATAGCGACAGGAAATACCAGTCTAGGTCTCTGTACAAAAATAACTTCCGACTAACAAAATTCCCTTTTTATAACAGTTGCAGTGGGTACAGCACAATGCCTTATTTAAAAAATCAACATTATTAAGTTTTTTTAAATGGTCAAAAATGGAACGATGATAGATCTAAAAAGTCTGGATATTCAAAAAAATGATCATGTTTTTTTTTTTATTTTATCGAGGAATGGGGAATTTCTTTCTTTCTTTCTCGTCGGAATTGAAGCAAATTGTATATGGAATATTTGCTTAACTAGGCAATTTGAAAAAATGCTGAATTTTGAAGACTAATGTCTACAAAATCAAGAATAAAGAAAACAAGATCTTTAAGAATTAAATTTTTTCTAGTTTCAACTAATACAACACAAGTTGCTAACAGTTGCCTCATCACTTCTACTTCCTGTCTTTTTCAAGCCGACAGAAAGGTGACTAAATCAATGTTATCTCCCCGGGCTGCCTCATGTAAGGCATTCTCTCCATTATTGTCTTTGACATCTAGTAAATGAGGAAAAGTATTGACCAAGTACTTACACATCTCTAGTTTTCCGTTCATACAGCATTGATGAAGCACAGTTTTCCCATCATTTGTTTTGGTCTCAATATCGAAGCCTTTCTCCAACAGAAAATTGAGTAAATCAATGTTACCTCCCCACGCTGCAGTGTGTAAGGCATTATCTCCATTATTGTCTTTGACGTCTAGTAAATGAGGATGAGTATTGACCAAGTACTTACACATCTCTAGTTCTCCGTTTATACAGCACTGGTGAAGCACAGTTTTCCCATCATTTCTTTTGGTTTTGACATCAAAGCCTTTCTTCAACAGAAGATTGAGTAAATCAATGTTACCACCCCACGCTGCATCATGTAAGGCATTCTCTCCATTATTGTCATTGACATCTAGTAAATGAGGATAAGCATTGACCAAGTACTTACACATCTCTAGTTCTCCGTTCATACAGCATAAGTGAAGCACAGTTTTCCCATCAATTCTTTTGGTTTTGACATCAAAATTGTTATCCAACAGAAAATTGAGTAAATCAATGTTACCTCCCCAGGCTGCATCATGTAAGGCATTTTCTCCATTATTGTCTTTGACATCTAGTAAATGAGGATAAGCATTGACCAAGTACTTACACATCTCTAGTTTTCCGTTCATACAGCATAAGTGAAGCACAGTACCCCCATCATTTCTTTTGGTTTTGACATCAAAACCTTTCTCCAACAGAAAATTGAGTAAATCAATGTTACCTCCCCACGCTGCAGTGTGTAAGGCATTATCTCCATTATTGTCTTTGACGTCTAGTAAATGAGGATGAGTATTGACCAAGTATTCACACATATTTAGTCTTCCAAACTTACAAGCTTCATGTAATGGTGTACTTTGACCGTCAGGAAATGTTTGCTTTACACCTTTTTCTATCAAGTATTCATACAATTCTATATTTCCTGATTGAGCTGTCCAGTGTAATGGAGTCATACCTGTTTTGTCATCATGATCTGGAGAAAGCAAATCTGGATACTTTTCACAGATATACTTGACCATGTCTAGTTTTCCATTTTGACAAGCATAGCTAAGAACAGTTGAACCAGTATCACTTGTACTATACGGCTCACAACCACTCTGAATTAACTCTTGAAAGATTGTTTTGTCTCCAGCATACGCAACGATATGCAGAGCGTTTCCACCTTCATTGTCTCGAACATCAATTAGTTGTGGGTAGCGTGCCAGAACTGGCTCAATGAGGTGATTCTGCCCAAAAAAGCAAATCTCATGTAGAAGACCGCATTCAATATTATTCCATTGATTTGATAAAGTTCTTTCTGTAAGGTCTACATTATCAGTAAAGCGAAACAGCAAATCTAAATTTCCACTTTGCACTGCGAAAAAACAAGTTTTTGAATTATACTTAACATTAGTTGATAACAGCAAGTCAATAATTTCCCCCTGGTTGTGTGCACATGCTTCATTTAAGGACAAATATCTTTGTTCTTCTGAAGCTGAAAACAAGAGATACTTAACCCACCTAATGTTACCAGATACACAAAAATGAACTAACATTGATTGCCCACGACTATCGATATTTTCTTTCAGCCCAATCAGCAAACGTTGATTACTTTTGCATTTACATACGAACTCCTCGTCTTCCCATATGTGAAGACGGGAAAGTGTTTGAAAGGCTGTAACTGATCTTTCCTGTAGGACTTCTAGCAATCGTTTAATTAAATCCTGGAAAATATCTTCGACGATTACTATAGAATTCCACGACAGTTTCTTACAAGTCGTTAACCTTTCTAGAAGAGCAAAATCACAACTCTTGATAATTTCTTGTGGATAATAATTGACGAGACATTTAAATAAACTCTCTTGAACTGAGCTATGACTAAATTTATATTTTCTTTCAATGTTGTCATAAACCATCAAAAAATGGTAGTAATGAAAGACAGAAGTTTGAAAATTCCTTAAAGTTGAATCTGTGACTCCTAACATTCTCAGTGCTTCTTCTTTCCGCGTTCTGTCTCGTAAAGGTGTTTCCAGCACGCTTTCTTCAACACTCCCTCCACAGAGAAGAATGTAGATTAAAACAGACATTTTCCTTTCTTTTCGATCTAACCTTTGTTTCATATAATTCTCTAAGCTTAGAATAGGATCCTTTAAGAAAGCTTGAGGGTGTTCGGAAAATATTGGATTATTTTTCAAGAGGCTGCAACACTGGGGAATTCCAAGAGAATTTCCAAGTTTAAAAACATCCAGCTTTGTGTTTGATGTTATCAATCTATCAAGATCGTACTTTGTAAACATTTCTTCTATTTCTGAACTTTGCATTTGAAAATTCCCATTAGATAAGTTAACTGAAGAATTGCTTAAAAATAATTCTTTATTTATTCTTTCGACTGCTTCTTTGTAAATATCATTTCTGATTGTTATAATCAAAACATTTCCCTGACAATTATCATTATTCAACATTGCTTTAATCAAATGTAGCTTTGCTTTAAAGTTGTCAACCTCATTTGAAACTGAGAACTCCCCGAATAAATTATCTAAAAATAAAGCGACGTTTGAAGATGGTGACACGGATCCATACAATTCTTCAACTGTGAACACCTGAAGAGGAAACATCCCTTTCTTCTGTAATTCAGTTAAGACATGCATGGCAATCGTGGTTTTTCCGGATCCCGGATTACCTTTTACGAGGACATATCTATTGGACTCTAAAAGTTCAAATACTCTTTTAATTGCTCGTATTTGAACAAATACATCCCTTGTTCTTAGCTCTTGATTTTCTAAAGCAGCTCTTGTTGTATCTAAAAAATCCAGAAATATCTTCAAAGTTGCTTGAAGTTTCACATGAAATAAACATCTACTGTAAAAATGCATATTTTCGTGGGGTATAATTTTCGTGGAGATTTTATTTTGAATAATTGTATATTATTTAATTTTACTTGTAACACGTAGTTTGATTGAATAAAAGATTCTATCCATTTTGTATAACACAACTTGCCTACGTCACAATGAGTTACGTCAAAAATCTTATTACTCCGCTTGACGTTAATTTTAAAACTTAATCAATGTGAAGCCTTATTCTGGGGGAAAATTGTCTCATTGTCTGCACTGAAATTAAATTACTGTAAACGTACTTTTTTCCACGGGGTCATAATTACGCGGAATCTCTTTTTCTGTTTAATCTGCTGGAAGTAAACTACGCGGATTTCTTAAGATTCTCCATATATGCCTTATTTTTTAATTAAGTTCGATGGGACTTATTTCCGCGGAAAATTTGTGACCGCGTACATAGCGTAAATTAATACCACGCGGAAAAAAGTACTTCTACAGTATAAGGAATAAAGCTTATTTCAACTTATATTATACGATATAACAAAACTTGGGGCAGTTTACGTCATACTTCGAAAACAACGAATATTATAACCCATCCCTCCCCCCAACGAAAATCTGTGATTTCACATTATCATTTTTTTTGTCAATTGTTTGGTCTTCTAAGTTAATTTATAACAAGGATATATCAGGAATAAGGTCTTACCAATCTTTACTCTGATATGCATATCTGAAAAGGAAACAAAATACGACAAAGATAATATTTCTTGTGGTACATTTCAATTCTTTTTAAGAAACAGCATGTTGAGTTCCAGGAGATGTTAAAACCAATTCATATAAAAAATCTTAACAATCTGAAAAAAAAAACCCTCTCATGTTTCTGTTTTCAAAGATTAATGTCATGTAAAAACATTGTTGTGATATGTGTATTGTTTCATTATGTATACAATTAGTAACAATAAGTTTCTTGAACATTCCAGAGTGGTCAATATGTTCGGTCATTGTTTCTAGAACATTCCTGAATTTTGTGTATGTCCAGATTGTTCCAGTAATATCATGTTTTTACAATTTCTAGAATATTCTAGATTTATGATACTGTATAAATACCCTGTCAATTCGATGCATAGATATACTTTGTCGTATAAGCACTATTGAGATATAACTGGGATATATTTTCACTGGGACATTGTGTGCAGCAACGGACACTCTGATGTATGTATTCTTAGATTCTTGCTAAGTTTGTACTTTATGTTTCATATACTTATTATATATTACTGTAAATAAATTATTGTTAAGTTTAAATTGTGTTATTGATCTTTGCTGGCATTTCGGGTAATTCTGACCCATAACAGAATTGGGGGCTCGTCCGGGATTAAGAATTTTTTTTTTTTTTTTTTGCACTTTTGCAGTTTATTGTCAGAATTTTGTTAATTGAACCTTTAAATTAAATTATAAGCCAGCAAAAATCAACATGGTATTTTCGGTCACAGACTTTCTTAGTTCACCAAGTGTTCAGGTTTTTGATACGTTAAAAAAGGATGATTTGATCGCATTAGGTTTGCATTTTGGGTTAGATGTTAAATCCTCTCAGAGAAAGCAAGACATTAGAATTAAGGTTGCAAACAAACTAGTAGAAGAAAACATCTTTGAAAAATACGATCTTCCAAAATATACAGTTAAATCAGAGTTAAGCTCTAACAAAATGGCAGAATATCAGTTTCAATTAGAGTTAGAGAAAATGCGATAAGAAAGAGAAAAATTAGAAAGAGAAGATCGAGAAAAAGAAAGAGAAAGAGAAGAACGAGAGCGTGAACGAAAATTTGAATTAGACAAATTAGAAAGAGAAGAACGAGAGCGTGAACGAAAATTTGAATTAGACAAATTAGAAGCAGAAAGAGAAGAGCGAGAAAGAGAGCGTGAAATGAACTTTGAATTAGAGAAACTAAAATTACAAAACCAACCAGAACCGTCAGTTGTCAAAACTGAATTTGACGCAGCAAAAAATATTAGATTAGTTCCAAAATTTCAAGAAAAATCTGTAGACGAATATTTTCCCCAATTCGAAAAAGTTGCGGAGAATCTTAAATGGCCACAACATGTTTGGTCAACGATGTTACAAAGTGTACTGGTTGGCAAAGCAGCTGAGATGTACTCTGCACTAGGGGTAGCTGAGAGTTCAGACTATGAGAAGGTCAAAGTAGCAATATTAAAAGCATATGAATTAGTACCTGAAGCGTATAGACAAAAATTCAGAAAGTATAGGAAGTTTGATAATCAAACATTTGTTGAATTTTCACGAGAGAAAGAAGATTTATTTGATCATTGGTTTAGATCTAAGAATCTTGATAAAACTTTTGCTAATTTGCGCCAAGTCATCCTGGTAGAAGAGTTTAAGGAAGGTGTTTCTCAAGATTTGAAAACACATTTAGAAGATAAGAATGTGAAAACTCTTGAAGAGGCAGCAGTCATATCTGATACTTATGCTCTGTCTCATAAAAAGAATTTTGTATCAAGATCTCAGACTAGCAGTAATTCTACCAATTCAGACACATATAAAAAGAGTGGTTCAGGGTCTCAGTCTTTCACAAGTTCCCAGTCTCCAGCCCAAGGTGGTTCTAAGTCCGGTCCAGGACGTTTTGAAGGATCTTCTGGAATAGGGTCGCTTCCTACTTGTAGTTATTGTAAGGAAAAAGGTCATCTGATCAGTGACTGCTTTAAACTTAAGAGAAAAAATAATTTTGATAAAACTCAACCACATGCTTGTGCGGCAGTTAGAGGTGATAGAGAAGCCTTAGTTTCGATTTGTTCTGACACTCCTGATGTCCAGGGTTTACAGTCCAGTTCTATTGATTCTATGGAGGATTATAAGCCCTTTATGTCTCAGGGATTTGTTTCACTCGGTGACTCTAGCGAAATAAAACCTGTCCAGATTTTGAGAGATACTGGTGCTGCACAGACGTTATTGTTAGAGGGCGTGCTTCCTTTGTCTGAGCAGACTTCTACTGGTGGGTCAGTTTTATTACAGGGTGTGGAGCTAGGCGTCATTGATGTTCCCCTGCATAGAATTAGTTTGAAGTCAGATTTAGTTACTGGACCTGTTATCGTAGGTGTTCGACCTACTCTTCCCGTTCCAGGCATTTCTTTGTTGTTAGGCAACGATTTAGCTGGTGGGAAAGTTGTACCAGATCCTATAGTTTGTGAGAAGATCAATCCAGATGTCATGTGCGATGATGAAGATGATGACATTTATCCAGCCTGTGCTGTTACTAGAGCGATGGCCAGAAGACGAGAAATGGAGGCAGACCATACTCAAGCCTTTGACGAGACGAATTCCTCTGTTGATATTGATTTGAATGACACTTTCTTATCTGACCTTGATGGCACTCAAACAAGCATGGAACCACACAATATCAAGAAGCAAGAGAAGAAAGAACTTTTACCAAAATTTGGTGGTGAGGATGATGAGTTGCATCCACTAGTTAGCCAAGGCAAGGACATCCTCAGCCGAGAACGTTTACTCTCTGAACAACATAAAGACCCAGATATCATTCAACTTAGTAAGAGGGCACTTCCACCAGAAGAGGCTACTAAAGTTGGAGAATGCTTCTATATGAAAGATGGCATCCTTATGCGAAAATGGCGACCACCTGACGCTTCTCCAGATGAAGTGTGGCGTGTTGTTCACCAGATAGTGGTCCCAGTTGCTTATCGTCGAGATGTCATGAGTTTAGCTCACGATACACCTATGGCTGGTCATTTAGGTATCAATAAGACTTGTAATAGGATTTTGAGTCATTTTTATTGGCCTAAGCTAAGAAAGGATGTTTCGAAGTTTTGCAAGTCATGCCATGTCTGTCAGATGGTAGGTAAACCAAATCAGAGGATTCCATCTGCTCCTCTCCAACCCATTCCAGCTTTTGAAGAACCGTTTAGTCGAGTGTTGGTGGATTGTGTAGGACCTTTGCCTAGGACCAGATCTGGAAACCAGTATTTACTTACCATTATGTGTACATCCACTCGATTTCCTGAAGCCATACCTCTTAGGAATATAAAGGCAAAGAGCATAGTTAAGGCCCTAACCAAGTTTTTCAGTTTTGTAGGAGCACCCAAGGCAATTCAGTCGGATCAAGGCTCAAATTTTATGTCGGGGTTGTTCCAGCAAGTCATGCATGAGTTGGGTATTAGGCAGTATAGATCAACTGCTTATCATCCTGAGTCCCAGGGGGCGCTAGAACGTTTTCATCAAACCCTTAAAACAA